TCTCTCTCTCGTCTCTCTCGTCTCTCTCTCTCTCTCTCTCTCTCTCTCTCTCTCTCTCTCTCTCTCTCTCTCTCTCTCTCTCTCTCTCTCTCTCTTTCTCCCGCGCCTACTCCCTATTCCGCTTTCTCTCGCCATCGTCGTCCTCGTTCTCGCTCCCGCTTACTCCCGCGGCCGGCCGGCCGGCCGACCTACGTCGAGATGCTCAGGTGTAAAACCGTTGATTGCCACGGCGCGGTATTTTCTCTTTGTACGGCGATGGTAGCGTGGTGGGCGTGCCGGGCACGACCGAAGGGAGACGGCCAAGGCCTCCTCATCGCGCGCTACCGCGATTATGTTTATTATACTTCGGCACACGCGTGTGCGTACGTGCGCGTACTTACACGCGTCCCCTGCCGTTCGCTGCGTGGCCAAGCATCTTTGTCGTGAACATAAGGACGCGCAGCATGCCACGCCGTACTCGGAGTGAATGGCGATAGCTACCGTGAAGATGCGTTTCCCGGCACAAACTTTATTTCAGAGCCTTGCGGAGGCGATGCCACGCCTGACGTGAGAGAAAGGAAAAGAAAGAAAGAGAAAGAGAAAGAGAGAAGGATCGCGACTGATTGCGCGAGCTTAGTTTAAAGGATCGGTCGCGATCGCGTAGGATTAATTCTTCGTGCCCGGCTAACGACCGAGTAGTCGTGTGCGGAGGAAGAAATTTACAGGGGAAGCACGTTAACTGAAAGGCGCGTTAACTATAAAATTAATCACCCGTAATGACATAATAAATATAGAAAATTAGAATACCTTCGTCACTCGCAGAGAAATACTAATATGTTTACCGGATGGATTTCTAATTTTGTAAAGAGAAGACAACCGGAAGGAATAACGAAAAGCATTTACACGCTACCGACGATTTGTCGATCGTCTAAGAGAAATGAAAACATATAAATATTATTGCAAGTAACACCGAAATATATTGATTCGCTAATCATCATGGCAGGTCTGCTCATGGGTCCGAGAAGAGATCGATCGTGACCGCGATTCACAACCGCGGTAACGCTCTTCACCGCCGTTATCGACAATGACGCTCGAGCGACGCGCCGTCGTCGAAGATGAGACTACGTTAGAATTCCATCGAGATGAAGCCTTGACATTTCGTGGCCTGGAATCGACCGGCATAATTGATCGGTCTCCGCGTGTGGCTCCCATTCGACGAACGACCGTGCTATTCCATTCCGTCCGGTGTAGTTACGACGAACCGCGTCGTACGACCTCGCGCTCAGCGACGAAACGCGGCCGTGTCGACTCTGCGAACAGGATTCCAGTCTTTCGCGGAACGAAAAAGAAGCGAGACCAATTAAATTGGATCCTTAGAACGTCTCGCTGGAAGAGGAGGGCTCAAAGTTGAAGCAAATCGCAATAAAAAAATTATGAAAATAATTCGAAGAACGATAAATGATAATGTTTTATCGACGCTTGTGTTTGATTTTGCATTATATTATATCTCTTGACGTATAATTTTGTCCGTGTCAATGATTTTTGAAAAAAAAAAATAATATAGCATATAAATTTATAAGTGTGTGTATATGTATGTATTTATTTTATTTATTATTATACTACACACACACACACACACACACACACACACACACACACACACACACACACACACTCCAATACACAATACATTTATTAATTCATTACTAATTCATTATTAGTAGTAGTGAAATGGTAAGCGATCGAGGATATCTCAAATGCAAAAGTACGTTGATTGTCCAAGAGTAACAATTATCACAAAATTTCATACTATGTAACTATGTAATGTTTCTTTCAGTTTGCCTGAGATTTCAACAGACATCGACGCGAATTTGATGGGTAACGAGAAAAGTACCCGCAATTTCCATGTAAAGTCGGCGATACCTATTATTACTACGGGTGCGCCTACAATGCGTTCTGGATAAACGGACGCGCAACACGGCAAATATAAGCTCGGCAGCAGATACGACAAACAAACGCTACGGGTGCTGCAATTTTCTGTCGTTAACGACCGGTAGTATCTTAAGCCCGTGTGCAAACGTACCAATAACGGTCGCGCTCGTGCGTACTAAAAATTTTATACCGTCGCGTTTATCGGCACGAGAGAATGGCGTTGGCAAAACCTTGTTTAACAAAATAATGACTACAATTATTATTCTACTTTACATTTGCCTGTTGTGTAGCGCAAATATCGATATCTTCTCGCGAAAGAGGGAGTCTCGCGGCACCTCGGCAATTTACTACAAATAATCGTCGATCAAGAAGAGTTATAACTACCGGATTGTCAGCCACTCGCTAGTTATTCGCTATTAAAAGCGCGTTTTTCAGTAGCACCGGACGGTCCGAACGTTACAAATAGTCACCGTTTACAGGACGTAACTTGCCATCCGTCATAGTCCGGTAAATTTTTCATTTCTCACTTGAAAAACTTGAACGTTTTATCAAGTCTAAAAAGCTATCACGCGTAGCTCATTCGTATCAATATGTAAAACGCACTTGTGCAACTAGAAATAAGATGTAATTTGTAAGTAGCATAAAATGAACTGTTGCGCCTTCCGGTGACCGAAGATGATGATGACAGTCGCGTGTTCATTTCGACGTAATACGACGGCGTTCTTTCTCCTTCTTTACTTCTCTTTCTCTAACGAAAGAGGCCGATAACGGGCTAATAAAAGAATCGCCTAACGCTGGCGCGGCGCCAGCAAGGGTGCAACCGTGCGGCAAAAGTCGCCTCGCGTGGTTCGTGTCTCGACTCGTTCAATTTACATAAACACGTACTCATTGATTGCCGGACCAGATTGTCCGGCGTTATTACTTCTACGACCGGTTAACTTCACCGCGGGACCGCGAATAATCGTTAAGCCCTAATCGCTTGGCTACGCACGTAGCGTCGACCTCGCCCGATAGATACGTCCGATATACGCTTGGTGCGTAGAGTTAACTTGGTCGGTCTCCGCGTAATCGCCCGAGCCAGTGGGGACGATGATTTTCACTTCCGACATTTCGAGAAACGACGGTTATTACATTACTCTCGCTCATATCGAGTGCACAGGCACCACGGCGTGGAGCGTTATCGCGGCGAATTATCGCGGAAGAAATGGCACGCCAACGACAAGTAAATTAAGAATTATGCAGGCTGCGTAATTACGATATTTGTTGCATGCAGGAAAAGCGCCTCTACTCATGAAGATAAACCGTACTCACCGAAATGATACGAGAAAGAGCCTCCGCTGTCAGAGTAGCCGTTCTTCTCGGATCCTGCAAACGGAAAGAGAGCAGAGATAATAATCGCAAAACTTTACTTCACATCAAGATCCTTTATCTATCCGTTTAACTTTTTACTCTCTCTCTCTCTCTCTCTCTACTACTCGTATTATT